CCTAGAAACTGAATTAGACTATAATAGAATGGTGTGTTTAATCAGTCCTCATCAATCGTCACAGCACAGTATAGAAGGGCTGCCGTTTCTAGGAGTCCAAGGCAGTGTCAAAAGCGTTCATTTGTAAAGCAGTCTCAAGGGAGTGTTGGAACAAGAAAGGGTTGCGACAAAAGCACGGACCCAAAATCAAGCCGCAAATGTATGTTTGAAAGGCATTCTGAAAGAAATTGCCGGAAAAACCACAAAACACCAGTCCCAGGAACCTACAAATGCATGAAAGCATGCATTATAGTTGATCCCCACTACACCTTAAACTACGCTGACTGTAGAAAGCAGATTTGGAAATCTGCTTATTACAGCTGCTTGAAAGTTGGGACTTCCTGGGGCAACAAATTCAAGAAATAGCCGGGCCACAGCCTAGAAACTGAAGCAGACTAGAATAATGTGTTTAACAGCGGAAGGGCTGCCGTTTCTAGGAGTCCAAGGCAGTGTCAAAAGCGTTCGTTTGTAAAGCAGTCTTAAGGGAGTTTTGGAATGAGAAAGGGTTGTGACAAAAGGACGGGCCCAAAATCAAGCCCCAAATGTATGTTTAAACGGCATTCCGAGAGAGATTGCCGGAAAAAAAACACAAAAAAACCAGCCCGAGGACACCTACAATTGCTTGAAAGCATGCGTTATTATAGTTGGTTGATCTGCACTACGCCTTAAACTACCCTGACTGTAGTAAGCAGATGTGGAAATCTGCTTATTACAGTTGCTTGAAAGTTGGGACTTCCTGGGGCACCAAATTCAAGAAATTGCCGGGCAGAAACTGAATCAGACTAGAATATACCAGAATAATTTGTTTAAGCAGTCTCAATCAATCGTCACAGCACAGTATAGAAGGGCTGCAGTTTCTAGGGGTCCAAGACAGTGTCAAAAGCGTTGAATTGTAAAGAAGCTTTGAGGGATAATTGCAACAAGAACGGGTCACCTGAAAGACAAGAGCCACAAGAAAGGGTCGCTGCAAGACCAAGAGCCACACATTGTTTCTTTACTCTGGGCTGGCAAATTTCTAGGCCCCTTTACATGATACCCACTAGAAAAATATTGTACACTGAATGGAGTAGGTCCACTCAGACTGTAAGAAGCAACTCATTTTCATTGTATATGGGGCACCTGATCAATTTGCTCGTGTCGGGGAAATTGCATTTTGGTTTATTGCTGTAGGTTTGTACGCGTATACAGAATCGGAAGTTCGGTCACTGACTGAAAACAACTAAACTCTAGCTTTAGCAGCCTCCTTAGTAACAGGCATGATTGATGCATTCTATCGCTTTTCAGCCTCCTTAGAGTGTCCTTGATTGGTTTGTTTTTTCCTTGGATTTTCTTTTCCTTCGTTTCTCCCTTGGAAACCAAAGGAAAACAAATCAAACCAAAGGAAACCGAAGGAAACCGAAGGAAACCATAGAATCCACCTAGTCCCAAACCAAAGGAAACCGAAGGAAACCAAAGAAAATCAAAGGGAATCAAAGGATACCAAAGGAAAAATGATATAATCTAAGGAAAACTGATTTTAGCTATTTCCTTTGTGTTTGTTTTTCATTGCTTTCCACCCACAATTAAAAACCATAATATTTTGGTCCAACTCATGCGTTGGAAAGGTTGACACTGCTAGCTTTTGGTCCATACCTGGGTGGAAGTGTGAAACACCTGTTACAGAAAACACACTTGTACTAATAGGGTAAGAAAAGAAAACAGAAGAAAACACACGAAAACAAAAGGTTTTCAAAGGAAAAGGCAGGATGATCAGAGGAGAACATCGGATCATCTAAGGTAGCCCTGCTGTGAAGAATGCATGTTCCAGTGATGTTAATAAAGAGTTCCTATGATAAACTATACCGAAACAATTGAAGACGTGACCCAGTGTCTGGGGACAACAGTAATAAGCAGACCTTTATTTTACACATTTTTAGGGGTAATAAGCAGATAGATTACCGGCGAGTGAGGCAGTTGAGCAATCTGCTTGTCTGCCGGCAGGGGAGGAAATCTGCTTATTACCCGCCCGTGACTATAGTTAATATTTGTTTAAAAGCAAAACGCTGATATGACATACACAAGCTGTAACCAATAGATCCCAAAGCAATGTTAAAAAAAACCCGAACAAATTAAACATCGCATAGACGCGTGTCTATATAAAAAACAATCGGCAAGACCATGTGCACATATACATGTATAGCCAAGTGTACATATGACGATAATGTAAAACTAAACATAAAGTATATATATGTATATATATTGAAATAATTAAATAAATACTTTACTTCGTGTGATCCCCACCATGACATTTATACATTTTGTTGCTGGCAAATCTTCTGGCATTCTATCTGGCATATCTTCTGGCATAGCTTCTGGCATTCTATCTGGCATATCTTCTGGCATATCTTCTGGCATTCTATCAGGCATATCTTCTGGCATATTATCTACTCAAATCTTCTGGCATTCTATCTGGCAAACATTCTGCCACTTTATCGGCATATCTTCTGGCATTGTATCTGACATTTTATCTGGCATTCTAATTCTGGCATTCTATCTGGCATATCTTCTAACATTTTATCTGGCATATCTTCTGGCACTCTATCTGGCATATCTTCTAACATTCTACCTGGCCGTTGAGGTCCAGCGGTGCACACTGAGCTGGGAAGGTCTAGGTTGAGGTCCAGCGGTGCACACTGAGCTGGGAAGGTCCCAGGTTGAGGTCCAGCAGTGCACACTAAGCTGGGAAGGTCCCAGGTTGAGGTCCAGCAGTGCGCACTGAGCTGGGAAGGTCCCAGGTTGAGGTCCAGCAATGCGCACTGAGCTCGGAAGTTGGCGAAGAGCTTGGCGAAGAGTTGGCAAGGCGGAAGTGGAGGTGGAAGTTGATGCAGACATGGTCGAGGAGAAATTGGAGGAGGAGGCGGAGGAGGCGGGGGAGGAGGAGGAGGAGGCGGAGGAGAAGGAGAAGGAGCTAGTCGAGGAGGAAGAGAACAGCTCTGATAAAATCTAACAACCCTCACCTGGCAGGTGGGGAACAATATATATATATATATGAGCAATCTCGAAAACCCTAGGTTCACGGAAAGGACATCCACAAATTTGGGAAGGTCCCATCGCTTACCACACGTTTGTACAATAATGATATATGGTAAACTTGGGGGGTAACGCTTGCAGGAAACTGCTACTTTTTTTGTATATAATTCACAGAAATCAACGTCCAATTTGGGTATCGCTAATGTGGATATTAGAGAAATACAATGACATAACCTTGAAAAGGGGTATCGCTAATTTGGGAAGGTCCCATCGCTTACCGTGGGGTTTTATTAATTTCCATCAATTTCCATAAACCAATGTCCGTCCAATACATATTTAGTATTGCCGGGGTTTTTGCGGTGGCTCATATATATATATATATATTGATTTATTTATTTCATATATACATACATATAATGTATGCAAAAAATGCAAATACACACATATATGCAGAATTAATGATTATACATCAGGTATGTATATATATATAATATATATATAGATAGATATTAAAAGAATATAATGTTTAGATGTAGTGGGTGTGTATATATATATATTAAATAAATAATGTATTTATATACATATCTTATAAAATGTAAACATGTAATGTATATACAAAACAGGTGTATATACATATTTTATAAAATGTAAACGTGTAATGTATATACAAAACAGGTGTATATACATAGGTTTATATTTAGATAATATTAAATATATATGTCATGTGTATTTACAAAAATCTATTTGGGTATGTTTGGCCAATAGTATGTTAAAAATATAAAGGTATAATGTATATATATATATAAATGTATTCATAGCAAAAAAAACTATATCGATCTATTTGATTCTATTTCAAGTTTTAAGATTATATATATATTTCCGGAGCCGGAGATGGCCACCACCAGCCGGAACTTCGTGGACCAAGTCGCAGCTCGTGCTTCCGCATCTGCACGATACAGCAGAGGCAAAGTCCTGGCGGTCTCATGTCCGGTCTGGAGTCTCATCTCTCACATCTCGTTCATGCTGTTTACAAGGCAGAATATTTGAAACATGTCATCCAGCAGGGTGCACACAAGCTCTTGAAATGCTTGACAGGCGCGATGAACGTAAAGGGGACCAGGTCTGCCGAAGACTCATCTTTTGCCTCATGAAGATGCTCCATCGCACGCGAAACGGCAAGGAAAGACACTAGATTACGCGCTAGCCGCTTGCGAGCTAAAGCACAAGCAACAACTGTGGAAAAATAAAAAACAACCACCACCACAAGAACAACCACAACGACCAAAATGACCACAATGATGACAACAACAAGAGGAACAAGATTGCAGAAGAGGAGCGGGGGAAAAAACTAGTACTAGTACCAGTAGTACTACTAGTAGTAGTACTAGTACTAGTACTAGTACTAGTACTAGCTGGGGTGGATTTAGTAAGGTTCTTTGTGCTGATTGAAGGTGCTTCTGTGATGAAGTTATTGGCGTTGCTTTTATTTAGTGGGTGGTAATGTGGATTTAAAACTGAAGAATGGTGTTCCGGATGTTTACAAATCGATCAGTTATAACTAGAAAACAAATATGACTGATGCTAAGCGTCACTGTGCAAAGATCCGATGTGTATAGTAGGTGATTCTGGTGTTTTTGTTGTGGCACAGAGCCCCTCCCCGCTCTGCGCGGTGGCGCCCTCCACAAACTTTACAGCGGCGCCTCCCATAAATTTTAACAAAGGAGGCAACACCTCCTTGAAAACAGGCTTGTGCGCAGGAGACCTTGCAAGGCCTTCCTTATAATGTCTGTCGAGCTATGATCAATCAATAACTTTGGCGTTACAGGAGGTTTCGATATTAAGGGCGATGTCCTCCTTGAAAGTTTCCGGGTCGTTCTCGGGGCCACTGTGTTTATGCGAAAGCGAGCAGCACCAAAGGACATTTGTTCAGCTCACATGCCTCGGTCTCGAACCTAACTAGCAGAAGAACTTTGGTGAAGTCGAAACTTCATATGCACCAACAAGTCGTCCAGGCAAGCGAAACAGCCTTCGAAATGCGGCGCCTGGGGCAGCAGGTCATGAGGCATGGCGTTGATGGCGCCCAAAAGAAAAGAAGCAGCGCTATCCAACTCACCAACCTTTCCTGCAAGCAAGTCGCGCGATATCAAAGCTGGACATTTCTCGATCTTCTCTTGCATAGGCTGGATTTGTCCAGACCTGGTGTAAAGGTGAGCGGTCCATGTACAGTCTGTGGGCTCTGTGCCAGGGCGGTCCAGCGTCATCTGAAGGATGGTCAAAAACATGATGGCACAGGCAAGCGCACATGACCTGGTGCGGTCTTCCTTGAAGAAAGGCTGGCAAAAAATCAAAGCCTCACGAGCATTTTCCATTTCGAACGCGCTCTTCTCCTTGAGTGCTGGATCCCACCGCAAGAAGGCTTGGACGCCCAACTGCAAGTCAGCTCTGTTGAGGACACCTTGGGACAATCTCTTCTCACCTGCTGCTGCCATGTTGCAGGTTAGACTAGTTTTGTGAGCCAAAAAACCTGGGTCGAATGGGTCGATGTGATGGACAAAGCAAAACCGAGGTTGAATTGCATTGCGGCAATGTTCAGCACTGAATGTGCAAGCATTGTGGTAACCACGGCTAGCGCAGCTGACTCAAATGATTTTCAACAGGTCAAACTGGAAACATGCCGCCTATTCTTCAAAGAATGCCGTGTTGGGGCGGAGCTGCACAGCATCTTCACTCACTGCCTGCTCTTTGAAACGTCGGACATTCTCTGCATGTTTTGCCCAAACTCCACCATTCAGGCAAAGCGCCTGTGAAGACACCCCCGGGCTGCCAGAAGCCAAGTTGGCCATGAGTGCCGGGTCTTGGCTGCCATTAGCTTTCGGAGTCTTGGCGGCAGCCTTGGCAGCCTTGGCCTTGGGCTCAGCAGCTTCAGGCAACAGCTCCGCGCCTCTCTTCGCTGCTGACTTCTTGGGAGCCATGGCTACTACGCACCCACTCTGCAGAAACTCAGCCGTGGGAAGTAATAACTAAGTTGGAGGTACACTCACAGCTGGGCCAGGACTGCAAGGATCTTAAAATGTCTCCTGCTAAAATCAAGACGGTTGTACCATGCCATGCGTGTGACCCGTACTAAATTCGGGCCAACTGCAGCATTCAACGCGTATTTGACTGCCATGCTCGTGACCCGTACTAAATTCGGGCCAGCTGCAAGAGTCAACGCGTATTTGGCTGCCATGCTCATGACCCGTACTAAATTCGGGTCCTCTGGAGAGTTCAAAGACCAGGACTGCCATGTTAGCACATGGTCAACCGTGTAAGAACACGGCGGCCAAACGCGTATTTGCCTGCCGTGCTACCACCTGGCAGACCGTGCGCTAACATGGCGCAGCCTCCTTGATAAAGAAAGGAGGCTGCCATGTTAGCACATGGTAAACCGTGTACGAACACGGCGGCCAAACGCGTATTTGCCTGCCATGCTGTACATGGTGAACACGTGCAACACATGGCGGTCGAACTGCTTCCTGGAAATAGTAGGGAGAGGCCTTAGTAGCGATCTTTTTTAACTCAACTTGCTGCCCGCGGAAGGCAAACATAGACAACAGGAGACTGCATCGTCCACATCGGCTTGACAGTGACCCGGCTTGCTGTGAGAGATGACTGACTTCCATTCAGACATGGTTGGCGAGAAACCACCAATTTCCTCAAGCGCTGGCGCTTTGCCACCGGCCATACTTTCAGCAGTGCGGTGAGCAGGCGAAGCAGCATGTTTGCGGAAACGAGCCACACGAATGTCACCACTGTTCACTTCATACCTTGCAAAGTGATGCCTGGAAACCGGAAACTTGGACATGGCTTCAGGACTCACTTCCTGAGCATCATGGCACAGTCGGCAGCCCAAGCCCCAACTGCCACTCTCCATATTCATTTTGGCGTCCAACCATGCTAATTCTTTCTGCCATACAGGCTTATATTTCACCCATGTGCATCGAGCACATTTTGCACCTGCAGAGCAAGCTTTCACATGTGCATCATCATCATAGCCGCCAAGCGAACAGTTGCCCAACTGCTCTGACATACTTGCTGATCCCTAGGTTTGAGCCGGTCAAGCAGAAAGGGAAATGTGTGCGGCTTGCAGCTAACAATAATAATGACTGATCAACTGATAGGAAAGCCTGCCAAGCTGGCTGCCGCCATGAAAGAAATTACTGAATGACACTCAGCCACCGTTCAAAGTGACCCCTTCGGCCATTTTTTCCCCTCAGCCGCGTCCCCCCTGCGGCGATGAGACGTTGATACACTCCGGACAACGGTCAGATGCGACGTCCAAAAATGATCTTCAGCAAGTATCTGAATTTCAGTCTGGGAAATAGCAGCTTCAACAGCGCAGCTCTGCTCGGATCTTTTTGGCTAACTGGCGTGTCTCCGAGTTCTCAGCTGTCAGTGTTAAACATAGGGGTTTAGTTTAGTAACAAAACTTGAGCAAAACGAGTCGAAACTTCTGGCGGCAGTCAAGATACGCTGTTCATCAAATAGCCATGCTTGTCTTTGAGCCCACCCTGCGGAGAAGCTGCTGTTGAACCATCTGGGCTGAGGTTGCTGCATCCTGCTTCCATGGCTTCTCAGAATTGCAAAACAAAGTCGACCTCTTTGGGCTCACCGGCATGAGGAGCTGGCCAAATCTTGTCGCTTGGCTCGTCTGACACATGGCTGAAAACATTGGTTGAGAAAACGCTGCTACTGACACAGGAGACCTAAGGAGCCTCCTTGCGTGACTTCCCCCTAGTAGCTGCTGGTGTTGACCAATTGTCCAGGAAACTATAGAAGCCTCTCTGCGCAATGAACGTGGCAAAAAAAAAAGAAGAAGTTCACAAAACACTTTTCTCAGGAGTGTGTACCTCCTTGGCCAAGGAAGCTTATATGATGAATGTCAACGATCCTTGCTCAGGAGGGTGCACCTCCTTGGTCAGGACACTGATGGATAATGAAAACATGTCAATGATTGTTGCGTGCACCTCCTTGGTCCTGGTCAGGAGGTGTGATAATGAAAACTTGTGAATGAAATCCTTGCTCAGGAAGGTGTACCTCCTTGGCCAGGACAGGAAATCTGAATTCATTATGGAAACACTGGTAAATGATCTTTGCTCAGGAGGGTTTAGCCTTCGGCAAGGCATGTGACATATGAATTTACATGAGTCGATCATGGAAACAGTAACATCTAAACAAGACAAACATGTTTGAAGCAATACGTTTTCTCCAATATGTTAAATCAAGAGAGTTTTGGGCAACACATACATATCCCTGAATGACTTGTAACATATGTTAAAAACAAACTCTATAACCATGTCTTAAAACATAGAAGCACCACCAATCAGCGCAAAGAACCTTACTAAATCCACCCCAGCTAGTACTAGTACTAGTACTAATAGTAGTAGTAGTAGTAGTAGTAGTAGTAGTAGTAGTAGTAGCAGTAGTAGTAGCAGAAGTAGTAGTAGTAGTAGTAGTAGCAGTAGTAGTAGTAGTAGTAGTGCTGCTACTAGTATGCTACTAGTACTACTACTAGTACTGCTACTAGTACTACTACTAGTACTACTACTAGCACTACTACTGGTACTACTACTAGTACAACTACCAGTACTACTACTAGTACTTGAGCTAGTACTCCTACTAGCACGTACTACAACTAGTATGTACTAGCACTAGTAGTACTAGTAGTAGTAATAATACTAGTAGTACTGTTAGTATACTACTAGTGCTACTAGTACTACCGCTACTACCACGACCATCAGCACCACTACTGCCACCACCGAATCTCTGGAAATGGGCCAGTATGATCTCGCCAATGCAGGTTGACTTGCCAAGTCACATAAGAAAATAGTGGATCTCCCGATATTTTGTCAGAAGGCAAGAGGGTACCCATATCATAGAAGAAGTCAGCCGTCCAGTTGGCCACAGCTGGGACATGGGCTTGGTCTCATGTTCGCTTTTAATATTCTTTTACGGGATAAGCATGGCACAATTGATCAATCAGTTCCAACATGCTGCAACCTACGATCACCCATCATGATCCGTCAGGATCCAGAAATCCACGTGCAGTTCATTTAAAGAGGCTCATATTATTGGGCAACTTTCAATTTTAGATTATGTCGAAATTGGGCAAAGCCATCATCATCATCATCATCACCATCACCACCATCATCATCATCATCATCATCAGCACCATCACCATCATCATCACCACCACCATCACCATCATCATCATCACCATCACCATCACCACCATCATCATCACCATCACCACCATCATCATCACCATCACCATCATCATCATCACCATCATCATCATCATCACCATCATCATCATCACCATCGCCATCACCATCGCCATCATCATCATCATCATCATTACCATCAGCATCATCACCACCATCATCATCATCACCATCATCATCACCATCATCATCACCATCATCACCATCACCATTGCCATCGTCATCACCACCATCATCATCATCATCAACATCATCATCATCACCATCATCATCATCATCACCATCACCATCATCATCACCATCACCATCGCCATCATCATCACCACCACCACCATCATCATCATCACCATCATCATCACCATCATCACCATCATCACCATCATCACCATCGCCATCATCATCACCATCATCATCATCATCACCGCCATCATCATCATCACCGTCATCACCATCATCATCATCATCCCCATCATCATCCATATCTATTTCAATACATTCAATGCATCTACACTGACACTACTCCGGGCATTTTGGGCCCTGCATCGCCATCGCGTTGGCCGCGGTCCTCCGGTTGCAACTTCGTGGGGGCTCGAGGTTGAGGGCAGACTTCAAGGTGTGCCTCAAGGAGATCTCCGGTCAAACATGGCTGGCTGGGAAATCCCACCACCGTAAAAATCGTTCTTGAAATGCCGAGAAAAACACGTAAATGGAACATGTATCAAATTTTGCCATTTCTGAAACAAACAATTTCCGGGCAGAAGGAACGGGCTGGCTTGGAAGTTGAAGGAGATATATCGCTCTTTTCTATCGAGTTTTCCTGGTGTTCCCGGAAATTTCCTCTTCAACATTCTGTGATCAGTTCGGTGCAGTTGGTGGAAAGTCAACGGCTTGGGCAACCCCAGGGTAGCCGGAGCATATCTGAAAGCTATGGCATGGAGTTCTCGCAATCGATATTGGGGGAAACAGCGGTGAAAGGTACAGAGGCAATGGCATGGACGTAATAAGACATGTTTCCATATATGGGGTACCCCAAAATGGATGGTTTGTATTTATAATGTAAACTTCTATTACAATGGATGATTTGGGGGTACCATGGAGCACCACCATTTTAGGAAACCTCTATATACGAAACAAACAAGTCAAGGGAGCATCTGATAGCCCTAATTAAAGGACCGGATAACCCCACAAGTCAACTTCTTCCAATAATGAGCTTCAATGGTTTTAGC